AACTCTAATATGAGAGAACAACACCTCACCAGAATGATTACAACCCTAATCACTCTAGTCTAACTGATTACACAAAACGTGAGTAAGAACTCCACAAACCCTAACTTCTCAATCGAATATTGAAGATAATAGTGTTCCAATTAGTCGAATGGGAAAAACTAAGTTTATATATGGTTGACTTGGTGGCTGGATGATGGTCGTTGGATCTGAAGAATAATATGTGGTCAAGATTCATTTGATCACTTGCATGAAACGACGTCGTTCGACTTAACCCAAAACTATACCGTTTTCAGGCTTCCACTTCAACACTTAAGTTTCCACGACAACGAATAATAAAATAATTATGAAATACGATGTTCAAGTGAGTACCCTAGCACCTGATGATTTTTTTTTTGGTAATCAGAGTGTTCAGGACAACTTGTACGCACCTCAACTAATCCTCATGATCTATTGAACATCTTATGAGCCCGAAGGACCAAGTAAACCACAATGTTATTGTGATAGGTGGTTACAAAGTTTGAATCTAAAAACTTAAGGAAAGAATCAAACCTCCTTGACCGACAGACCAATTCCTTGGGGTTATGTTAGAGTCATGAAAGTGACTCTATTTTGGTGATAAAAATACCCCATGTGTGATTAAATTGAAGTATACTGAGACAATTAAAGAATTTATGAATTTATTCACTAAAATCGCTTCCTAATATTTTTCTTATGAATTTAAAGTGTTTGGAATGATTTTGGAAAGGATATGAGTTGATATTAGATTGTGGTTTATGGATTAGGGGTGATTTTGTCTCATTTATGCTATTTAGGGGGTAAACTGTCATATTTATAAGGGTTGATTTGCTACTTTTCAATTATGCAAGGACCAAAGTGATATTTTGCATTTTGTTCTATAAAAGAAAACGAAAAGTCGCACACCGGGGGGGGGGGGGGTTGGGTGGGGCGGCTGTCATCATTTTTTCGGTGACCCTTCGTCTTCATTTCGGCGACCTACGGCGACTCTTCATCTTCCCGGTGCACCGATCTTCACCCAGCCACCGTCACCACCGCAAATCACCCACCACCACCGCGTGTTTTGCCTTCACATCGCACTTTTCATCTTCCAGGCGAGATTCACCGTTTTTCCGGCGCGTTCGGCTCCCCAAGACTTGATTTCCCTTCCATACGGCCAGATCTACACCTCCCTAGCTTCAACCGCCGTGAACCCGTCGGAATCCGCCATCTAGCCACTACGACTCTTCATCTTCCAGCCCGATCCTCTCATTTTCGGCGACCTTTCACCTCCCCATGACCTGATCTGAACTCCCCATCACTAGAACTTTCCATCGGTACCTTCAGATCCCATTTTCGCCACCGTTTTTCGGAAGACCCGTCAGAAAATTAATGTTTTCCGACAAGTGCGGCTGTTCGTATTTCGGGCTGTCCGTTAGTCGTTTTCACCCCTTCTTCGCATCATATCGCTGCGGCTGCCTCCTCTCCGCCATGATCAGCTTTGTTTCCACCGTTTCAACCTCCGTCATCACCACCATGAGTGGCTAAGTTCCCGGTGGTCTGTTACGGTGTAGGAGAGATCGAGATTGACTCCACGCTCTGCTCATCAGCTCTCGACTAGTTGGATGAGCCACTTGTAGGACATTTGGTAGTATTGTGTTTCGAATTATATTTGTTTTCGTTTCATGTTTGATTTTGATACTTTAATATGATTTGAGCATAATTTGTGATGAATATTGTTGTCCATTGTGATTTAATGTTTTCATAGAACTTGCTGAATGATAAACGTTGGTTTGAAATAATTGAATGACGAATATTGCTTTTCATTACTTCGCATCGATTGTAATTGAGTTGTGTTCGGATTTAATTTTATTTCTACTGTTGTTGCATTTATTGTGAAGTTGGTTGATTGGAAGATACAAGTTGATAGGTTGTACTTGTTAACATTGTACCAACTAATGGTATTGTCGTGTAGCGTTTATCGGTGTTCAATGATAGTCTTTAACCAATCGAACTTGAGTGATCGGGTGAGATAGGATAGATTATACCTAGAGTGCCGAGAAACCATTTCATTGATTTACCTAGCCTTGTAGGTTTAGAGGATCGTAGAGGGTGGAGGAGAAGTGTGTGAGTCGGTCTCGTGTCGAACCAAAACTGTAATGGCAATATTTTTATTATAAAGTCTTCATTTGTTTTACTGTCACGCTTTTATTATTTGCATTTAGTTTGTTTAGTTGAATTAATCATTTGCCAATTTCATTTCTGCTACTCAATATACATTAGGTTGTTAGTCTTGCTCTCTGTGGATTCGACCCTGTTTACTGCTAACTATGGTATTTAAGTTTAATTTTGTGACCGTGACGACCGGTTTGACAGGTTATATCCTTTGAATTTTAATATTGCAATAAATATTAGTTTTGAATCGGTCTCCATTACTTTTGAAAATTTAATTTTATATGCATCAACTTGCGAGGGAATTTTTCGGAATCAATGGGGAAATTAATTTGAATATTTTTTATTCTGAATACTTACCTTAATTGTTTATTTCGATGTCATATTTTGTTCTTTAAATTGATCTCATATATTACTATCAGAGGCCATCTCTCTCTTTCTTTTCTTTGTTCTTTTTTTTTTTTTTTTAAATTTAAATAAATTAACCACAAACTCAAGGATTAAACTCTAAACTAGGGAAGATGAATTGTAATAATATGTGGCAATGGGTTGTGTGTGGGGATATAATATTATTTACTGCTGGAAGCTTAAAGTTAACATATTATAGTTGTATTCATACAGTGCCTAATTACAGGACTTTAGCATGTGCCAAAGTCAATTTTCATAGTCCACAAACCGATTTATGGAAATTGGAGTACACTTCAAATCGCAGTCGCACTTTTACCGCGTCATGTCACATGGGCAATCTTTATTATGGTTTTGTTTACCATAATTGAACAAATCAGGATAATTTTTATTTTAATAAATTCTTTTAACATTTTTCTATTTATTAATTTTAAATATTTATAGTAAAAAAATTATAATTTAAATTAACTTTTGGGGTATTTTTATAATTAACTCCCTAAAAGCAACTTTTTAAATCTAAAAACTATAAAATACTATTTTTTTGAATTCTTTAATTAAACAGATTATTGCATAATCTATTTTTCCTATCATCACTTTCAAAGAAAGGAAATTAATTGTTTTTCTTCAAAATGTTAATTAGTTTATTTTCTAAGAAATTACTTGTTTTTCTTCAAGATTCCTCACTTTTTTGTTAACTATACAAATTATTACATTTTTCTGTGGGAAATAGTAAAAAAATCACCATTAAGCCCTAAGGTCATCCAATTCTTTAACTTGTAAGTTAAAATTTTTATAAAAAAATTCTATTTTGCCTCACTCTTATTAAATTTTATAAAAGTTCAAAGATGAAAATACTTTTATGGAAAATGAAATTGGGAATAAGAGAATCATATAAGAAAATGCTTTTATAAACCATGAAACAAGTTTTGGTCAATTATAAGAATAATTAATTGGAAACTTTATATGAAACGCGTTTGGATCCAGATGGAAAGCAGTAGTAAGCTAAACTCCACTGCTTTCGCTGTCTTTTGTTTTCTTCATCCCTTCAATCTCTCTTCTTCTTCAGTTCTCTTCTCTCGCTCAATCTTTCAGAAATCACTCAAAAACTCTTTCCCACACAAACCTCTCTCACCCCTTCAGATACCACTAAAATTACTTTTACTCTGAAACCCGATCGCTTGATTTTTCACTCCTCTCCCTCTCCCTTATTTCTTATTTATTGTTAAAAAAAAAAAAAAAAAAAAATCCTTCCCATTTTCTAATTTTGGTTTACAAAAAAAAAAAAAGATAAAAAGACTTTCTTTTAAAAAAAAAAAAAAAAAAAAAATTATTTCAGCATTTTTCCTTACTCTTGTTCTGTTATTTGAGTTGCACCTGTTATTATCTCGTTTTTATTTTATATTTTTTATATTTTTCGAACTTGAGGAAGAAGTGAAGGAGAAAGAAAATTTTAAAATGGCTGTAGAACTTATTGGGACTCGGGTGCGGGAGTTTTGTTCTGGAGGCTGTCAAGTGCTTGGCTGCTCCGATTGGGCGTCATTAAGTACTTGTACAACTACGATACCAATTTCAGAAATCTCGAAAAGGAAGTTAGGACGCGAAGTATACAAGGAACGACGTGCAGGTTAAGGTTGCTGATGCCGAAGTAAATGTGGAAAGATCAAACAGAACGTTAAGGACTGGCAGACTACGGTGAACAATACCATTACGAAGCAGAGAGGTTGATTCAAGGAAAGAAGACAACCCTGGATGTTTCAAGGGATTGCGCCCCAACTGCATCACCCGCTACAAACATAGCAAGAAGGCATTCAAATTAAAGCAGGATATTGTTCTGAAGCAAGAAGAGAAATTCGACGGTGTTTCCTATCCTACTATTCCACTAGAGAAGAACTTTGACAAGCTCCGAGATGATGTTTTGAGGTTGAGGAATGCAAGAGGCAAAGTGCAGCGTAAGGTTGAGGAGGCTAAAAACAATGTGGAAGAGATTGAAGAGGATGTGAAGAAGTGGCTAGAGGATGTTGACTCTATCATGTTTAAAGCAGAGGATTTGATAAAAGCCAACGTTCAATTGGCACAGACCGCGGACCCGCTGCCAAAAGAGCAAGGCAGCATCCGAATTAATGGAGGATAAGATTGATCCACTCCTGCAGCAGAAGTGAAATTCGACAGAGTTTCCTATCCTACTATTCCGCTAGAGAAGAACTTTGACAAGCTCCGAGATGATGTTTCGAAGCTGAAGAATGCAGACTGAAGTGCAGTGTAAGATTACGGAGGCTAAAAACAATGTGGAAGAGATTACAGAGGATGTGAACAAGTGGCTAGAGGATGTTGACTCTATCATTATTAAAGCAGAGGAGTTGATTGAAAACCAAAGTCAATTGGCACTGCTGGGAGACCCGCTACCGAAATAGAAGGCGGCATCCGAATTAATGGTGGATATATTGCTCCACTCCTGCAACCAAGAAGAAAGATTCGATAAAGTTTCCCGCCCTACTATTCACAAGGAGATATGGCTTAGATCTAATGAAGATTATTTGGCTTTCGAATCAAGAAACTCCACTGTGAAGAATGTATGGGATGCTTTACAAGATGAGGAAATCTACATGATGGGTGTTTATGGGATGGGTGGTCTAGGCAAGACCACTCTTGTGCAGGAAATTGGTAGGAAAGCCGACAACGATAAGCTCTTCGATGAGATTGTTTTTGTTGAGGTAATGTTTAAACTAAGGGGTTTCACTTTATTATATTAAGATATTTATTTAGAGTGATAATTATTAGTATTTAATTTATGTCATTAATTTTATTTGAGTGAAATTAATTAGACTTGAGTCTTCTATATAAGGACGTTTATTTATAATTTACAACAAAAAAGTATTCAATAGTTCATTTTTTATGAAGAAATCTTTTTTTTTTGTTATTTTATTTATAATTTTATATATCTTAGCTTAGTTTATCTTTTAAGGTTTACTTTGTTATTAGGTTATTTTTTTAATAGATGAATATCTTTTTTATTTTTTAACAAAAAAACACAGTTTTCTGTTTAAGATTTTCTTTTTATTATTATATTTTGTTATTTTGTGGTTTTCTACCTTGCAGGTAACAGAAACTCCTGATATAAAAAAAATTCAAACAGTAATTGCAAACAAGTTAGGTCTCAAATTCGAATATGCAATGGAAGATGAGAGTCAAAGAGCAAGCAAGTTATATTCAAGAATGGAAAAGAGGAATATCCTTTTAATCGTAGATAATATTTGGGGAGAGCTGGATTTGAAGATTGTAGGAATTCCTTCTAGAGCTGATCGTGGAAGAAATAAAATATTGATGACAACAAGAAACGTTGATGTGTTGGAGAAGATGGGTTCTACAAAAAATTTGGGGATGGGCATTTTAAATGAAGAAGAAGCTTGGAGTCTATTCAAGAAAATGACAGGTAATTATTATAACTCATTTTAATTTGATAACACATAAAACTTGTGTTATGGTTTGACATGAATAAACAAAAAGTTAAAAGTAGTAATAACACGAAATATTTTCAAAATCTCTATAATTACTCCATTGATAGAATAGTAGTGCTGGCCTAGGGGCAAAATTGACTAATCTTTGTAACCTCTCATTAAAAACAAGAAATTTAATTTAATTTAATTTAATTATTTTTTTTTGGAAAATTCCTTTGACATTAGTTTTATTTATTCTCTAATTAAATTTCTATGTTTAATTTCCATATGCAAAACAATTCTAACATAGGGCTATTTTCTAATTACAAGCTAGTCTCATTTTATTTGGAGTAATGCTACAGTCACCGACGGTAGTACACCGAATTTATGCATCGAATGACGTGACAAAATCTTAACTGTTAATTAATATTAAGTTAAAATTAATTAACAGTCAGGATTTTATCACGTTATTCAGTGTACAAATTCGGTGCACTACCGTCGATGACTATATTATTTTTCTTTGATTTGACCTTATCTTTCTAACAAAACTCTAACAAAACCTGTACTTATTTTTCCCGAGGCAAATCCATTTTGGTTCATGAGGTTTAGCCTAATTCATTGGTCCAGTAAATCCTATTCAAAATAATAAAGCAAATGGATGCTTTGCTTTTGCCCGTTGTCCTCTACCAAAACTAGTTAAAATATTAAATGTTTCACTTTAACCCATCAAAAGTTCACTAACTAAAGTAGCTGGATAAAAAAATACAAGGAATTTGACAGGATCACTCCATTTAATTGGCTGGTCATTGGTTTAACTTAGCAAGTAAGGTTACGGAGTTGGTACAACTATTATATATTAATAAAGGTGCCGTAAAACCCCCTCTCAAGTAATTTAATTTTGTTAAAATGAAAGTATAGTTTGAAAACTTGAAATGACTTTCACTTAAATCAATTAGTCTCGGTGATGCTGCCAATGTGTACGTGTGTGACGTCTCGACATTGTGATTACCAACTAAAATCGACAAATCCTCCTCACTACATTTTGAAACATTATAGTACAGACAAATAAATACAATTAATAAAGTTATATCGCTTCCGTGATTGGCTCATTATCAATAACCCCCGTATGAAATCAAATTACCCCTTTGGAAATAGTAAAAACATGAATTTAATCTATAAACTAAACATTCTTGTTGTTGCTTCAATTATGGTCTTCATATTACTGCCCCTTTAATAGCCACCCACCACCACCACCATTAATAGCCACAATCATATAATTATAAACCCAGAATCATAAAAAGTGAAAGAAAAAGAAAAAGGTTATTTATTTTACATTTCCTCATTTCTCATCACTTTATTTTTCTTTTCTATAAATATTGTCTTAAAGCTCTTTATAAGACAAATGCATTTCTATGATTTTAGAGATGAAGAGTGGAAAGTGGGGTTTGGCCGAGGAAAGTGGGTTACGGGATCTTTTTAATTTTTCTAATATTTTATTTTGCAATAATTTAATTTTTGGGTTTTAGTCATCCCCCAAGATTAAAGCAAATTATAAAAATCCCCTTGTGATATTCTAAATAACAAAAAAAAAAAAAAAAAAAACCTTGACGTTAATTAGTTATTATAGCTTTTGACACCTAACAATGATATAACAATGGAATCTCGTATTTGCCCTTGAAAACGTTGCACAAAAGGGAAAGACTTAATTGTCCCTTTTATATAAAATATAAAGGGTTAGAAAGATAGTTTCAAATATTAAATCTTGTTTTATCTTTTAAGTGCAACTTATTTATATTTAATCTACTTTTTTATTTTTTTTAAATCTAACAACCGTATTTTTTTCTATATAATCACACAACCATATAATAGTGTACATAATATAAATTTAATAATGTAAATTTTGAAACTTGAAAATACAAATTTCATGTACTAATAAATGGCACTGTTTTGCTTTTAAGATGTTGTCACACCTTAGATCCTCTTAATTTCTATTCCGATTTCTACATCTTCAATCTTCTATTTTGAAATTTGTTACACTTCTTTTTAAAATGATGAAGATGAAATTTAAAGTATATTCATTAAGATATATGTTTTAGACTAATTCTTTATCTTTGAATTAGTTTTAATAGATATCATTAGTTAATTATAGTGCTTAGTGCAACTCCTATTATAAAAATTGTCTTAAAGCTCTTGATAAGACAATTTTAGAGATGAAGAGTGGAAAGGCGTACTATTTGGAATTAAGTGCAGTTTATTTTTATTTTCAAATATTTTTTTAAGGTTTTATTTAGAAAAGATTCAAATAAGATAGCTAGAGGGAAAATAACAACACTTGGAACTTTTCTTGTTTTTAAATCCAAAGCATGTAAAGAGACAATTTAATTAGTATAATCCTAGCTTCCTGTGCAGGTGGTGTAATTCAAACCCGTGAATTGAATTCTTTGCCACAAGATGTATGTAAGGAATGTGGAGGTTTGCCTATTGTCATTTGTACTATAGCAAAAGCATTAAAGAACAAGCGTCGTCCATCTAATTGGAAAGTTGCCTTGCGAGAATTAAAAGCGCCTTCACCAGCAAATTTCATAGGATTACTGGAAAAGGAATAAATGAAGATCGCCTTGAGTTACAAATATTTAAGAGATGATGAGCTCAAGAAAACATTTTTAATTTCTAGTCTAATGGAAAATAATACTTCCATTTCAAACTTTTTCATACATGTTGTGGGATTGGATATACTTGAAGGAGCTAACCTGAAAATGGAAGAAGCAAGGGATAGGTTAGATACATTGGTTCGCATACTGAAAGACTCTTGTTTGTTAACTGACGGTTTCACAAGCGAACAATTTGCCATGCATGATGTTGTCCGTGCTGTTGCTGTTACAATTTCATATACAGACCACCATGTATTTACAAGGAGAAATGATGTTGAAAGGGAATGGAAGGATAAAGATAAACTCAAGAAATGCACAAAAATCTCCTTAACTTATAGTAGTACTGTTATTAGTGAGTTGTGGCATGAAGATCTGGATTGTCCAGATCTTGAATATTTCTATATGACCAATATGTGGGGTTCTAATTCTTCTTTCGAAATCCCTGAGGACTTTTTCACAGTGATGCCAAATCTCAAAGTTTTAAATTTAATTGGAATGCAACAATTGTTGTTGCCGTTGTCACTTGATCTTCTGATAAACCTTCGAACTTTGTGTTTAATTGATAGCAAAATTGAAGATGTTGCTATTATCGGAAAGCTAAAGAAGCTAAAAGTTCTTAGCTTGTCAAATTCATCTATAAGGGAATTGCCTGCAGAAATAGGTCAATTGACTCAACTAAAGTTGTTTGATTTAAGTAATTGTCGGAACTTGAAAATTATTGCACCAAATGTGATATCAAAATTATTGCAATTGGAAGAATTGTATATGAAGGGATGCTTTATTCAATGGAAGGTTGAAGTACTCAAGGAATTGAAGCTCTTGTCTCAACTGGCCAGTTTAGAATTAGATATTAAAGATAACAAGATGTTGCCTAAAGACTTCTTTTCCAAAGAGCTTAAAAGGTACAAAATATCAATAGGAGTTTGGCCATCCGAATATATAAGATATAATGAAGATGAGGATTTGAGGATGTTAAAATTGAAACTTAATTCTACCATCTCCTTAGAAGAATTACGAGGATTCAAAAATGTTAAACTCTTATTCTTAGCCGAATTTTCAGATGTTGAGAATAATTTTAATGAGTTTGTCGCTCTCACGCCCCTCTTTGATGAAAAGGTTTGATTGACTATAACCTCTTGTACTTGTCTATTATATATATTCTTATTTTCTTGTATGCTTTTTCTCATTTCGTAACCCGTAGTTGTGGTATTGATTATTTATTCTTCTTTTTTTTTTTTTTCCCTTTTTTCTGGTAATTTACATTTTCAGTTAAATTTCACTAGTAAATATTTCTCTTTCAATCTCTATATGACGCAATTTCTGTCAAATTGATTTCATTAATTCATGCTTGATTCCATGATGGACATTATTAGAGATAGAAAAACACATCGTACATATTAATGGCATGTCATCAATAAATCCATAAGAATTTATCCATATGAGTTGGTAAATATTGAAATAGCAATTAACTTCGATTGCAGGTTATTTTCACCGATTTGATGGGCTTGGAATTGAGCAACATTAGTTCTGGAAAGATTTGGGATAGCAAATTTCCAACACTTATGTCTTCCTCTTATCAGAATTTGACACGCTTTATGTTGAAGAGTTGTGGAAAAATAAAATATGTGTTTCCATCTTCCATTGCTAAAAGCCTCCAGACTCTACAACGTCTTGAGATAATGGATTGTGAGGTTTTAGAGGAGATTGTTGCGGAAGAAGAAGGAGCAAAAGCTGCTGTTAATTTTGCCTTTTCGCAGGTTACCTATTTGAGGCTTCAGTATTTACCAAAACTTACAGCTTTCTATCCTAGAATACATACTTTGGAATTGTCGATGTTAAAAACATTGATGATCAAGCAATGTGAAAAATTCACTACAAAATATCTAAGCTCCCAAGAAAATTCACGTCATATTTTAGAGCCAAAATCCCTCTGCTTGGAGCATAAGGTACGAGTCTTTTGTTTACTTCTTTATTGAAAAAGAAAAAAAACCTTCATTATATATATTACATAAATTAGAATTGAATAATGTGATTTTTAACATCTCTCTTTTTTTTAACAAAAATTTTGAAAAGAAAAAAGAAATAAAACTTAATGGTTAGTTGGATTTGGACAATTTTGTTACTGGAATCTTGTCAAATAAACTCATTAGAGTACTATGTTTAAATCATCCAATATAATTCTATAAATTATCAAAAAATTTTCTAGAAATTATCACTATGATTTTATTTTAAGATATTATCAGTTGGAAGAGAACCTTTAGTTATTATTATTTTAAGTTTGTATTGGAGAAGATATAGATATTATCAATTGATACTTCCCCAAAACCAAAGTCATTCTACTCACAATTTGCAGCTGCCAAATCCCCCCTTTCACAACATGGCTGGCCTTGCAAGTGGTGCGCGGCTGGCCAAGGCCCCTGCTTAATTTACCTTTTTTTTTTAATTATTATGAAAATAATAAATCTTTTAATTATTATTATTTTATACAAATCTACTTTTCAACTAAAAATATTTTAAAGTTGTATAGAATTATACCCTTATAAAATGTTAAATCTAACTATCTCTAATAACATTTTATCCCTTTTTAAACTATTTTTGAACTTGTCTTCTTTTTTTTATAGTTTCTTAAAACATTATCCCTCAATTGATAACAGTCTCTTTATTTATACTAAAAATGTCCCAGCTAACAAGTGATCCTTCTTATGGTTGGAAACCAGATCACAAATTCAAAATTATTTAACATGAAGAGCAAAAAATCAGTTTAAAAAGAACAAAATTACGTTAGTTACCATTAAATTTAAGAGAGAGAAAATTACAAGCCATAAACACCCATATAATAGTAGGGAGAATGAAAAAAATGGACTCCTTTTTTCTATACACGCTAGAAAAAGACAAGTTTGTTTAGAACATGTTTAGTTTTCATAGGATAGTAGTGTCTTTTATGAAATTAATTTGACTAGTAAATTAAAGAATCATATGCAATTACCCTTTGTCCTTCTCACATTTAATTTAAACCAATTTCAATGGTTTCATATTTAAAATATAAAGAAAAACTTGGAAAGCGTAACAGAAACAGTAACGAAGAAACAAGGATAGTGGAAGGTGATTGAGTATGGAGGGAACAAAATGGGCTTTGGCCCAATTAACAAGCCCAAAATCTAAAAGAATCCAACAAACATAAGAGAAGAAGCAAATCTTTAAAATGATATAATGTCAAGGAGATTCACAAAAACCATGGGGTGACTGTGACTGCGACATTATAAAATTAATTAACTTTTTAAGATTTTCCTTCAAAAGAGATTTAACACCTTTCATATTCTTCTCTCTCACCAATCATTTAATTTGTTACTATTTGAAGATCCAAGAATCTTCATTTATAATAAAAGTGGGTATTGTTCAGAAGCTACAAATTTTTACATTATTCGAATAATGATTAAAAAGCTAATTAGATTTTTGTTTCAATGGATTTGTAGATCAACTCTAATTTGGAGGATTTGTATTTAAAGAATAAGTTGAGACAGATTATATGGTGGTGTCGATTTAAAACTCTTAAGATCGAATATGATGAGTCAGCAAATATTCCACTTGGGCTCCTTCAGAGATTTGAAAATCTGGAAGTGCTTGAACTAACTTCTTGTAGATACGAAGAAATGTTCTCATGTGGAAAGGATGAGAAACATATGCAGATCAATCTAAGACCATCCTTAGCTTCTTTCCAGAATCTTAGAGTTCTGAATGTAAGTTGGTGTAGAGAGTTGATGAAGTTAATGACACCTTCAACGGCTAGAAGCTTGGTGCAGTTGAGAGAATTGAGCGTAGAGGGATGTGAAATGGTGATAGAAATAGTAGAAAATGAGGGAGATGCAACAACAAGTACTGAAATTGTTTTTGATAATTTGAAGAAGTTGTCACTTGAAGACTTAAAAAGTCTCATATGCTTCTGTTCTGGGAATTATTCTTTCAATTTTTCATCTTTGGAAGAGTTAATTATAAGCGAATGCCCCAATATGAAGACTTTCACTCAAGGAATCTTAAGCACACCAAAGTTATACGAGGTCAATTATCACAATGAGACTAAAGGTGAGTGGGAGAAAATTGAAGTAGAGAATGAGGGGAATGATCTTAATAAAACCATACAAGGAGCATACAGAAAAGAAAAACAGGTATGTATTCAAGTAATTAGTTTGAATATTTACTTATTTTTGCCTTTTTTTTTATATATTTTAATAATATTATGTTTTAGCTAGAAGATTGCCAATAATAGTTGGGTGAAGCAAGTTTTGTTAGTTTATCAATACAAGTTCATAACACTAAAAACTAATGTGACTTTATATTAGTATTTGTTTACTTTGGGGCTAGGCCTTTCAAAAATTATTAAGAGTTACAAAAAGACACATTTTTCTTATCCATTAGAAGCAATAATTATTATTTTTTTATTACTTTTATATTGAAACAACTATTAACTTTTACTGCAGGATATTTCCCTTAATTTGAAGTATAAGGCATTCAAAGATGTCAATTCTACAGAGATTTGCTACAACCAACATCCAAATTTCTTTTATCAAAATTTGACACACTTGTTCTTGCGGAATTGTGGAAACATAAAATATGCATTTCCGTCTTCCATAGCCAAAAGCCTCCACCAACTCCAAGAACTAAAGATTGAAGATTGTAAAGTTTTAGAGGAGATTGTTGCAAAAGAGGAGGGAGCAAATGCAGTTGTCAATTTTGTCTTTCCGAATATAACCTTGTTGAAGCTTCAAAATCTACCAGAACTTACAACTTTCTATCTTGGAATACATACTTCTAAATGGCCAATGTTAAAACAGTTGGTGGTGATAGATTGTGAGAAGTTCACTTCAAAACATATGAGCTTCCAAGAAAATGGTGAGGAGGGTGAACTTCATATTTCCGAGCCAAAATCTCACTTCTTGGACGATAAGGTACGAATCTTTTATTCCATTCTTTATTGAAGAAAAAGAAAATTAACTTACTTCATATATATTATATTTATTTCAAAAACTTTAATTATGGAATTCTTAACATCTCTATTTTTCCTTGGAAAGAAAATTTAGAAAAATTAATGGTTATTTAATTTGAACAATTTTGCTTTAGGACCTTATCATTTAAACTCATTTACGTACTAGATTTAAAAAAATAAATAAATCATCCAATATAATTCTAGAAATCAACAGCGAAATTTTATTTTTACTAGAAATTAGTTTATCAGGTGATTCACTTTATTATTGAAGAAATTATTTACAAAAAGTTTGCAACTTGAAAGCCTCCTAAACGGGATCATAAATTCAAAATTATTTTAAAATGATTTGGTGGTGGCCAAGAGTAATAAATAAATTAAATTTTGAATCAAATTATATTAAGGTAACTATCAATAAATTATGTACCGATTTCTTTTCAATTATCACATCTATTTGATAATGTTATAGGCCACATTTTTTAATTAATTGCATTAGAACCTTTAATAAATAAATAAGTAAATGTCCAAAGTCCAACTTATAGTCAAGGAGGATAAAATTGACATTTTACACCAAGAGGAAAGATTAAACAAGAATATTTCTAAAATAGAAGATAAAATTAGAAAATATAAAGAAAAAAAAGATTTACAAAATCTGAAATTATATTTTTAAAGTTGTAACCATTAAATACTAAATTTGAAAATTCAAATAATAGAAATTTTGGGAAAAAAAAAAAACTTTTTAAGAAATTCATATTAATGTAATTTCTATAACTTTTAAAAAAAATAAAATAACATTATAAATTATTCTTAAAATAATTAAGAAAATGTGAAAAAAAAAATTGAAAATGGTTGTAGTGGTGCCTACAACCATTAGATCACAGTTTGCAATATTGGGTTGAAGTCATAGCCATCAATCCTGTCTACAATCTAAGGTTGCGCCACAGCCATGCTATTTGTGGCTATGGTCTGCATCTGTAGCCGTTTCCATTAGATTGTAGCTTAAATTCAAATAATTTAATAGACAATAGGAGGAGATGTATACTGTAGTTTTCCAAGTTAGTGGCGGCTAAGTAGCTTTTTGGTTTCAAGGAGTGTAATTGGTAAAATCACATAAATGAAACATTTGCTCACAAATTTGATTCATGGTAGCCCTTTGAAGAATAATCTAAATTCATTTGAATAAAAATAAAATTCATTTGAAAAGCATGTTTCTATTTTCTATTTTAAACAAAAACAAAAAAGTATGTTTAATCTGTAGTTTACAAAAATAGTTTTTGAATGCAATTTTTAATATTGATTTTAAATATTAATAAAATATAATTTACTAGTTTTAAAATAGACTGTAGTTGATTTGTCAAAATTTGATTAGGTTTGGCCTATGACTTTTGAGCCAATAACTAAACTTTTGTTTTAAGTATATAATTGAAAAGCTAATTGGATTTTGTTTTCGATGGATCTTGTAGATCAATCAAGATTTGGAGGTATTTGAATTAAGGAACGGTGGGAAAGGGATTAGATGGTGGAGTCAATCTAAAGCTCTTCATATCTCATATGATAACTCAACAAATATTCCACTTGGGGTCCTTCAAAGATTTGAAAAACTCAAAGAGCTCAAACTATTTTGTTGTGATCAATACAAAGAACTATTCTTTCCAAGTCTTCCAAATCTTGAAGTTCTAGATTTACAGAGTTGTAGCAAATATATGAGTCTAGTGCCATCCTCAGCTTTTTTCCAGAATCTTGAAGTTATAAGAGTTGACTATTGCAATGGGTTTATGAAGTTAATAACACCTTCAACAGCTAGAAATTTGGTGCAACTGAGAGAAATGAGCATAAAGAATTGTGGACTGTTGATTGAAATAGTAGAAAATGAGGGAGAAGGAGATACAACAATGAGTACTGAAATTGTTTTTGATAATTTGAAAAAGTTGTCACTTGGAAGTTTAAAAAGTCTCATATGTTTTTGCTCTGGGAATTACTCTTTCAATTTCCCATCTTTGGAAGAGTTAATTATAGAGTTTTGTCCTAATATGAAGACTTTCTCTCAAGGAATCTCAAGCACACCAAAGTTACACAAAGTCAATTATGTGAGTTGGAGTAAGACAACAAAAATAAAGAAAGGGGGGAATGACCTTAATAGAATCATTCAACAAGTACACAAAGAAGAGGTACATGTATTCAGTTCATTAGTTTAAATATTTATTTTATAATAATCTTATGTTTTTAGCGTTAATTATAATAAACTGTTTTTTTAAAGTCAGTTTGTGTATAAGTATTGTAATGCAAATTTTGCGTTAGAATAAGATTCACATATTTCCTTGCAGCATTGGAAGCTTTAATCTAGTGTTATGCAATACTAGGCTTATCCTAGCATAAGGCTCATCAAAAAGTCAATTTGTTCTAGTTGCTGGGCTAATTCCATGTGTCATTTTCTTATTTTTAACTATCATATTTTACAAATCAACATTAATTAGAGGTATCAATTTCAACCCTCAGGTTAACTTTTTTTATTCTGATTCAAGGGTTATAGGTGGCCCGATAAAGTAATTGGACTAATTACATGGTAATTGTAAGGAGAAAAAAAATAAAGGTTAAATGAACATCTTTTTCTTGCTTAATTTTTATATGTTTTTAAGCGGAAATATTAATTTTAATTTGATTGACATGATTTTTTTTAGGTTGACTCCAATTTGGAGAAATTGACATTAAGTGGAAGGGACATCATGTCGATTTGGGAAGGAGAATTTCAAGAGAGCTTTGGTCAAGTAAAAACTCTTCAATTGATTAATGATGCATATGCAAGCATTCCAATTCAAATCTTTCACAAATTTAATAGTCTTGAAAATCTCACACTAAAAGTGAGTTCATATGAAAAGGTATTCTCATTTGAAGAGGATAAGGAACATGTCGGAGCACTCACAAAATTAGGAGTTCTAAAATTGCAAGGACTTTTTAATTTGAAGTGCATTTGGAAACAAGACTCTCGTTTGAACTCAATTCTTCAAAATCTTGATAGTCTGGAGGTGGAATATTGTCACAAATTGACTACTTTATTGCCATCTTTAGCATCTTTCGAAAATCTGAGGACTTTGAGTGTAAGGGATTGCAATGGAATGCAAAACTTAATGTCATCCTCAACAGCCAAAAGTCTGGTGCTACTAGAAAAGTTGACTATAACTAATTGTAAAATGATCATGGAAGTAGTAGCAAACGAGGGAGATATAGAGAAAGATGAAGTTGTTTTTGAGAAATTGAAGGGGTTGTACTTTTATAATTTAGAAAGTCTCACATGTTTTTGTTTTGGGAATTACACTTTAAAATTCCCAAATTTGGAAAACTTAAATGTGAGTAAATGCTCCAAGATGAAGACTTTCTCTGAAGGAGGCTTAAGCATACCAAGGTTAGAGATGTTGAACTATAAATATTGTTCGGAGAGTGACATTGATACAATCATACAACAATTACAAAATGGTAAGTATTCATTTACTTAACAATATACTTTTTCCGTAGACTTCTTCGTTTTCCTTCATTGAATTAATACTAGTCAATACTCAATGATCTTTATTATTGATTTTGTCTTTAATTAAAATCCTTTAAGCGAATCAATTATAGACTATCAAGTCTATATAGAGAAGCTACAATATTACTATTTATGTTTCCTTAAAGTTAATTTATACACGTTTTTGAAGTATATATATTGAAGTAGTTGTTGAAGAAATTTCTCATTTTCTTGTTTAATTGATAAATTATGATCAATTTAGAGCTTAAAATAACATTCTACACCGTTTTTGCTTTTAATATTAATTTGTTGTTCTTTATGATTATAGATTGTTCAGATTTCTGTAAAGGATTCGAAGGAGATTGGGGGTTTTAGTTAGATAGGAAACTAATATTCATCAACACACAACAATCATATGGTAAGTGTATGGTATTAGATGAGTTGGCATTTCTTTTTAAACATAAATCAAAAGAATATATATAATAAGCTGACTAATGCAATTATGGCATTTCTCTTTCACAAATGCTATTATTATTTTCTTGTTTAATTGATAAATTATAATCAATTTAGAGTCTGAAAATAACATTCTCTACCGTTTTAGCTTTTATTATTAATATATTATTCTTTATGATTACAGATTGTTCTGAGTTTTGTGAAAGATTCCCAAGAGAAGATCAAGAGTTTTAGTTGGTTCAACAACATACAGCAAAGTCTCGTGGTAAATTAGATGAGTTGTGATTTCTTTTTAAATATAATTCTAAAGAATATATATAGCATTTCTCTTTCATATTTTCTTAAAAAAAAGATTATTAAAAATATTTTCTTAATATTTATTAATTTATTTTATTCTAAAGTTAGTGTAAAACAAATAAACTATACATTATCTGCCTACGAACTACGAAGGCTTTATTTGGGGGCGGCAAAGCGTTCAACGGCTTGGCTACTCAAGGTCCGGCCGAATCTTCGCTTGAGCTGCGCAATTTGGTCGGATCTTTGCCTCAGCCGTGCGGCATGGCCACACATTTTCAAGCCAGATCTTGGCCTCAGATGATGTCACCACCTCCCATAACCTGGTATTGTGCTGAAATATTTTCCTTTGGGCACATCAAATGATCAAGCTAATCCTTCAATGACCTTTCCTATACTGGTTTATTCTCTATATTTTAATATGTAGAAGATGAATGTTCATGGAGCCTTTTGTAAGATTTTGTTTACTCTACAGCCCTAGGAATTGTTTACCCAAAGCAATTTATTAGCTATATGGTTTGAAGAGTATATTTAAAAGGAAAGTAATATACTTCTGATTCATTTTGCCGATATCCTAAACAGATTGAAGTGATCATCAGGACGTATTAAAAATTAATGGTATTCCCATTCATTAAGAGGGAAGTAGTTTTGTTTACATATGTAGAGTTTTAACCCATATGTGCATAATAATGTTCCATTTTTTCCCTTAATGTTATCAGGCAGGATCAAGCAAAGGCTGCTGAGGTTCTTGTCTAGGACCTCAAGGTATTTGCATCCTTCAATGAAGAACTTTTCAAGGAGATTACCCGGCTTCTTACTCTTGATAACTTTAGGTGACTACTCCACCATTTTTTTTCAATTGGTATGGTATGCAATGAAAATTTTTAGTTGATTTTTTCTGTTGGCACTTTGTGATCAGGCAAAATGAGCAACTTTCCAAGTATGGAGACACAAAATCGGCTTGTAATATTATTCTTGTAGAACTTAAAAAGCTAATTGAATCAAACCCCCTGTTTCGTGACAAGCTCACGTTTACTTAGCATTCAAAAGTTCACAACTGAGGACATCAATAAACCAGAGGTTATTCTTTAATCTTTTCATATCAGTAAATTTTTTGTGTCAGTGTGCTGAAGCGAGGTTTCTGGAAAATAAAACCTAGGAATGCATTTTAAAATATCTATGTGTATTGGTATATTTTATATTAGTTGATTTCTACTTTGGGTTTGCGATTATTTTCTAGAACTCATTCTTTTTAAATTTTTTTTCAGTTTAAATTGGCAGCATCAACTTTGCAAGAATCTCGTCCAACCCTGATATTAAGACACTCACTCTTCAGATCATTCTTGCAACCAAGGCTACGGAGCATCCTCTCTACAAACAACCCCTTGTGGGACCAATTCTTAGGCGTGTGCATTTCTGCCTATTGGTGCTATGGTGTGAGTATTTTGCATCTATCTACCATATAAAACATTGGTGCATACTCAAATAATAATTGTAATGTTCTCACTGTGCAGCGATTTCAGACTGTTGTTTCCCATCTCCTGGTGTGTAGCTGGTTGGATGTCAAACAATCGTCTCTCCTTCCTCACCTTGCTGTGGCAGCAGGCCTCCCCGGTCTGTGCAGTTTCTAGTGCTGGTAAGGATGTTGTAATTGTGTAGCTTGCATTGCTTTTTTCCCTCTTTAGGCTTAATATGTTTGGTTGAATTACTCTAATCTTTTATTATTTATTTTCATTGGGATGTCTACAGCTGCATTCTTGAAACATCCAAGGACGCCGATAGGTATGACTGGGAGGATTATCATCAGCTGATTCAGAGCATTTGATAAGCGTATCTGCACTGGCCAATCGTGATGTGGGGATGAGAGAGATAATCTGTTGTTTTTTCAAGCTTGATAGCTGCTATGAATTTCTAAATGGCCTTTAATCTAACGGCCTTTATATCAGCTAGTTGTAACAATTCTCTTGTTCCTTTCTCTCCTTTGGTCTTCGTAGTGTCTTTTGCTGTGTTAGACATTACTTCCAATGTATATTCTCAAGATGACCTTGCTAAAGCCTTTGTGCAAACCATAAATCAAGGATCTAATGTCATCAGCATGGACTTCCATCCACAACAGCAAGCTATTCTTCTTGGTAAAAAATTAGAAAAAAACCACTGTTTAATGTCTGGTCACTAAAAAATTTATAAAATTTTTTCCAGAGAGTATTTATTATTGATTGAAATTTCTGTTCTTCGGTCTGCAGTGGGGATAATTGTTGGTGACATTAGCCTTTGAGAGGTGGGATCCCGGGAAAGGCTGACACATAAATTTTTCAAGGTTTGGGATATATTAGCTGCTTCAATGCCATTGCAGGTATTCACCATCTTAACTTCCTAAGAGTACAATGCATAAAATCTTCATTCTTTATCAGTTTAATTTTGACGATGAATTTAATAATAGTGGGTACTAACTCATACTAATGTATTCACCTAATACTTATGAACATTGGATTTAGTATACTTGCTGGCTTGACTGGCAAACACTTTTATATTAACCATGGACAACAATTTAGGAATTTAAACATGGACTGATTCTTGTCTCTTTATTAATTAACTTGTACTACCAGAGGCTTTGTTGAATGATGCTGTAATATCTGTGAATCAGTGGGTTTGGGGGCAAGATGGACTTATGCTTGGTATGTATATGCATTCTATGCTTGTGAATATGAATCATATCCCTAGTTCATTATATTTATCTTTTCTCTTAATCAAATTGTGCTTTGTCTAGGTGTTGCATTTTCGAAACATATAGTTTAGATATATACTTACAATCCAATTGGAGAACTAAGACGACACTTAGAGTTAACTTCTGTATCCTAAATATCAGTTCTTCCTTAAAAATGGCTAGGTACAGTTTATTAATCACTTGTCTCTGTTTTTCAGATCAATGTCCATGTTGCTGGAGTTAATGACATTGCGTTTGCTCATTCCAACAAGCAACTGTTTATAGTTACGTGTGGAGATGATAAGACTATTAAGGTATCATCTTAAAAGGGTGTGACCTGCTTCTCTAAGGAAAACATAATTGATATATCCTCGCTGTAACTTTCTCCCTATTAATGTGTTTGACTTGTTGGGATTCTTAAAGTACGTTTCTTGTGTGATAGGTATGGGATGCTGTAGCTGGGTGCGGGCAGTATATGTTTGAAGGCCATGAAGCTCCTGTGTATTCGGTCTGCCCTCACCACAAAGATTGCTACCATCACTTTTTCTATATGCTAACTAGCTGATAGGAGTAAGATGGCTACCATCACTTTGAATCTCATATAATTTATCTTCCTATCTTGAAATGTGCAGTTTGTTTTCTCTACTGCCATTGATGGAAAGTAAAAGCTTGGCTATATGATTGCTTGAGATCTAGAGTGGACTATGACGCTCCTGGACACTGCTGCACCATGATGGCATATAGTGTAGATAAAACCAGGTAAAGCTTGGTTAATTTTAAGATAGACACTTGCAATATAATTTTGTGATTTTTAATATTGTTTGTGCACATGATACTTTATATAATGACTCATTGAAGTTTCTGATTATATCTTGTTTTACAAAGGATTTTTATCATTTAGTCACCTAGGATCCTTTGTTGCTGGATTTTTTAGGCACTTCTCTGCCTTTGATGTGGCATTTTTTTGTAACCGTCCTTACATCATCTAAATGGAATAAGACTTAAATATTTTTTGTTGCAGGCTCTTCTCATGTGGACAAGTAAAGAAGGCGAATCTCAGTGGAATGAGAGTGAAGGAACTATCAAAAGGACATATTCTGGTTTCAGAAAGCGCTTTTTAGGTGTTTTTTAGTTTGATACAACACGGAATTAGTTCTTGGCTGCTGCTGATAGATTTCAAATTAAATTCTTGGATATGGACCATACAAATATGTTGATGGCTGTTGATGCGGATGGTGGATTGCCAGTTTGTAGTTGTACTGTTTACTTGTACACCAATAGTATTTAACAGTAGATACGTAGCAGTTGTTCATTCAATTCTATTCTTTGTAGGCAAGTCCTAGACTGAGATTCAATAAGGAAGGATCTCTGTTTGCAGTTACAATGAGTGTCAGTGGTATCAAAATTTTAGCCAACAGTGATGGTTTGTGATTGATAAGAATGTTAGATAGCAGGGCTACTGACAAAAATTGGGCCCCTTCTGAACCCATCAACTCTAAGGTAGTTTTATGCATGCTTGTTGATGTGTTACTTTTCTTGTATATTCAAACAATATTTGTGATCCATTAAGAAGTTACCTACAAATCATAATCCTCTTCTCAGGCCATTGTTTGAACTTGTTTAAAAAAATAATTTATATAGAAAGAACAACGCATGGAAAGATAAATTTATAAACATCAGCTCTTTAATGTTTAGGTTCGGTTGGTTCATGACTGAGATAAAATGACAGTCTTGAGTCTTGAAATTCTTATGACTGCATCCCATAATAGTCTCTAGAATCTTGTGAATTTAACCTTTTGTAAGCTTAAAGAATGAAGACCTTTAGGATACATTTTCCTATAAGCCTATTATTTGACTTTTTGTTCTGTCAGTGTCATATGTGCTACTGTCTTTTTTGGCAGCCATTGATTGTGAATGCTCTCGGTGCAGTGGGAAATGTTTCTGGTGCCATGGCTCTGACTCTGGAATGGCCAGATAGAATTCCTCCGGCTGGATCTATCAACAGTCATGTAAGTTTAGCATTTCTTATACCATGAAGTTGTTGGTGCTTACCTTGGTCCACAAATTTATACTGAGTCCCACTGCAGGGTCCTATGAACAGCAGTAGACTTGTTGATGTTAAACCACGTATTGCGGATGATGGAGACAAGGTTAAGAGAAAGTTCCTAATGTTTCAGATCCATAACAAATAAAAGCTCTGCATTTACCTGATTCTATAGCACCAAGCAAGGTAGGTGGTAAAGAATTCAAGTATTTGCATGTTATTTCAGTTAGGAAGAATCACCTCTGCTTCTATGGTGCTGGGAATTTTCTTTGTAATTATTACTGCCCTTTTTGTGCCTGTGCTCGTATACGAGTATTTTACTATTATAAAGCTATGCAAATCATTGGTAATGTCAAGTTCATCCCAAAAGCTTAATACCAATCAATGTATAAATAGCCAAATCAAACATTAAGCATAAATGATGTGAAATACATTGGTAATTTTTCCTGCATTTAGGCCTGGGAAAAAATATAAATGTTTTTTCTATTTTGTTGCAGATGTTTATTGTTGGATTTAAGTAAATAAGAAAAGAAAAATTCAGGTTGTTCGGTTGATATACACCAACTCTGGTCTAGCTCTATTTGCCCTTATCGCCGGCGCTATTCACAACCTGTGGAAATGGCAGCTTTGTGAAAGGAATCCCTCGGGGAAGGTTTATTACTTTCCATTTGCAAATTTCTTTTGTTTTTATATTTTGACCTTCCTAATGTCTGTTGCAAACTCGTCAGGCTACTGCATACGTAGCGCCCGTTGTGGCAACCTCCTAGTGGAACACTTATGACCAATAACATAAATGATGGTAAACCAGCTGAAGAGTCTGCTGCATGCATTGCTTTATCCAAAAATGATTCTTACGTTATGTCTGCCTTGGTGGAAAGGTTTCCTTGTTCAACATGGTGACATTCAAGGTTAGTTATTGCACCTATCCAAATTTGAACTCTGTATTTCATACATGTTCTACAGTATTTGCTTGAGATAATGCTTTTGCAATATTTTGAGAGTCCACATGACTGAATAAGATTGCTTATTGTGTCTCAGGTCATGACAATGTTTATGCCCCCACCGTCGGCAGCTACCTATTTGGCATTCCATCCTCAAGATAATTATATTATTGCCATTGGGATGGAGGATTCTACCATTCAGATATACAATGTCAGAGTTGATGAGGTGAAGTTTCTCATTTGATCTGTCGTTTTCTATACTTAATTTCTGAAGCTAGTTTTATGTATACCTGGTCAAAGGATATTGTTCAATTGACTTTTGCTCCATTTATTGCTAGTGTTAATTTATGGTTGATTACAATGATATTTTGAGATTGTTAATGTAAATTTTATTCTGGTTTGGCTGAATCATTACCTATAACATACAGTCTGATTTATGCTTCTTAGCTCAGTTCATTAGAGGGAAAGTCTTATTGTTACCATCTTGTTTTAAGGAATTGATGGTTAGTATAATTCCATAAGAACTACTAAAATCATTTTTTTTTCTTAAATGAAACATATCATCTTCCTGAACAAACACAGATGCAACAAAAGTAGTCCATCACAATAGAAAAAACCTGCTCAAAAATTGTCAAAGCTCAAGTGTAGCTATCTTAATAATCTAATCAATAGCTCTCTTGATTATCTAAAGCTTATTGCGTGACATATAATGAGGAAGCATAACTAATGTTGGATGTTGTTGGCAGGTCAAACTCAAACTTAAGGGTCACCAAAATCGAATCACAGGGCTTGCCTTTTCCCACACTTTAAATGCACTGGTGTCTTCAGGGGCTGATGCTCAGGTTAGTGCCGGACTAATATAAAATTTAATATTTTAATGTTTCTGGCTGGTAGTTGTTCTTAATTATGTTTAATTGGGATGCTATAATTTTTTTGTCAAGAGTAAGAAACCTAGAACATTTGAACCATTAACGGTTTGCTCTATGAACTTTTGCTTATCTGGGAAGCAAATTACTTTATATGAAATCGAAGTCGCAATTTGAGATTGATCTTAAGCCATTTAGGGTGATTAATGCCTGCATACATGAGCCTTTTCTTTGGTAAAATTTCAAAACATAGTTGAATTACTATGTAAATATAGTCTTCTTGGATTGAAGATTCTTGAACTAATTTGAGAGGAAGTGAACGAAAATCAGAAGAAAATGGAAAAGAGGGCTAAGCGTGAGCTGTAGCTAAAGAAAGGAATGAAAAGTGTGACTTAATCTTTTTTAACAATCGTGTTTTTGTTACAACTAAAAAACTGAACTGTAACGAACAGTAACAGCCTCTTATATAGAGACTGGAACACTTACAAAAACGCACCGTTTTTTACTACTTACAATCTTTACAAAACACACCCCAAGGATACTTACAAACTTTATAGAAAACACCCTTCTTGCTTTTTTATTCCTAATATTCCCCCTTAAACTAAAGTGTCCCAGACACTTGTCACATAGCTTCTCATTCTTGTGTTCAATATTCTCCCATAAACCACACGGTCAATGGATGCTCCAGCAAAGAAAACTTTCTTCAGTCATACACACACCAGAAAAACTTTCTTCAGTCATACACACACTAGAAATAAGCTGCACAATTTCAACCTTTTTTTTTTTTTTTTCTTCAGTCATACACACAGCAGAAATAACTTTCTTCAGTCATAGACACACCAGAAACATGTAACAATAGTCATTTCAATATCAATTTTATCAGCATTCTGTCAACATTTCAGCAACAAAACTCAACATTCTCCTCATCTAGCAACTGACAATATTTCAGCAACAAATCTCAACATTCTGCTCACCCAGCAACAGACAACATTTCAGCAACAAAAATCTCAACATTCTGCTCATCCAGCAACAAAACTCAACTCAACATTCTGCTCATCTAGCAACAGAACAAAAAATACATAAACAAACTCAACACTTTATCCTTCCAACATACTACATAACCTCAAGTCAGATTATCCAGACCACCAAGGCATATCAGCCACAGAATAAACACTCTGATCATCCAGCACTGAACATTCAGTAATATTAACACACATCAGCAGCAGAATATAAAAGATAAACACTGAGCAAGACAAACACTGAGCAAATATTACTCAGAAGCACCAATACTCATTATTTACAGAGGAAATGAAACAAAACCAGTATTACTCAGGTAGCACCGAGGTCACAGTGAGTTTTTCTTTCAAATAAGTGAACTGATTGCAGGGAAGAGCTTTAGTTAAAATATCTGCCACCTGATATTCAGAAGCCACATATTGAACACTCAATTGCTTCTTTGCCACCAGATCTCTAACATAATGCACATCAATTTCGATGTGCTCGGTCCTAGCATGAAAAACAGGATTCGAAGACAAAGCTTCAGCACTCATGTTGTCACACCAAATAACTGGACAACCATTTACCAAGATACCTATCTCTTCAAATAAATTTCGAATCCACACAAGTTCTGTAGATGCTGTACTTAAAGACCTGTATTCTGCTTCTGTAGATGATAAAGAGACTGTTTTCTGCTTCTTTGAACTCCACTGGACCAGATTACCTCCAATGAACACAGCATACCCACTAGTAGACCTTCTATCATCCATATCACTGGCCCAATCTGCATCAGCATATGCTTCCACCAAAAAATGCTGCTTCTTAGTAAACAAAAGACCATGATTTAGAGTACATTTTATATACCGAAGCACTCTCTTGCAGGCTGTTCAGTGATTAACGGTAGGTTGTTGTAAAAACTGACTTAACTTGTTCACAGCAAAGGAAAGATCAGGTCTGGATAAAGTTAGGTACTGCAAGCCCCCAATGATGCTTCTGAACAATGAAGGCTGATAAAAAACAGTACTATCTTCCTTCCCCAATCGAACTCCAGTAGCCATAGGTGTATTGCAGGGCTTTGATTCATACATACCAGCCTTAACTAATAATTCTTGAGCATATTTGCTTTGTGTCAACAACAGTCCCTTGCTATTTCTATGAACTTCAAAACCAAGAAAATAGTTCACAGGACCAAGTGTTTTTAAGACAAAATTTTTGTTCAAATCAGTCACCACTTCATCAATCAGTTTCTTATTGTTACCAGTCACCAAAATATCATTTACATAGACTAGTAAGTAAACTATATGAGAATCCTTTTTATAAAAAAACAGACTAATATCAGAAATAGAGTTCTGAAATCCCCAGCAAAGAAGAGCAGTTTTTAACTTCTCAAACCAAGCTCTTGGAGCCTGTTTAAGGCCATATGAGGCCTTATGTAGTTGGCACACCTGTTTAGGCTAAGAGAAATCAGTAAAGCCTTCTGGTGGAGTCGTAAACACTTGTTCAATCAACTCTCCATTAAGAAACGCATTGTTGACATCTAGTTGCTGCACTTCCCATTCATTATAAACAGCCAAAGATAAAATAATCCGAATAGTTGCTACTTTAACTACAGGAGAGAAGGTCTCAAAATAATCAAGGCCAGGGGTTTGTTGAAACCCTTTGGCCACAAGCCTAGCCTTATATTTGGACAGTGAACCATCCGAGTGAAGTTTAGTTTTAAAAACCCACTTACTACCAACAACATTCATTCCAGCTTCATAGGGTACAAGAGTCCAGGTTTGATTTTTCAACAAAGCTTGATATTCAGCCTCCATGGCTTCTTTCCACTCAGGAGTTTGTAAGGCTTCTGTAATGGATTTTGGTTCAGGTAAGATAGTGTTGGTAGATAGAAGAGCTTGGGGTGGATGAGTGAGACCACAACTTTTAGACCTGGTAATCATTGGATGGATATTTTCAGTGCTGACAGAAGGTTGAACAGAGGCTGTAGAGGGTGCTATGGGAAGTACAACTTCAAGGTGAATTCCACGATTGTGTGTGCCTGTGGCTAGTACTTCAGAGATACCTATGGGAGAGGATAAATGATGAGAATCAGCATCAGGAAAGACTTCTTTTGGAGAAGAAAAACTGCAGTCCCGAACAGGTGGTGTAATAGAATCTGTGGGTCTGAGAGAGTCATTCTGACATATAACAAAATCTGAAGGTGAGTCCTTAGATAATGAGGATGGTTGTGGAAGAGGCCATGATTGAGAAATGAGATTGAAACCAGAAGATTCAGTAGTGGAAGAGGCAGATTCTACATAATGAAATCTTGTTCTGAATGGAAAATCTGTCTCCAAAAATTTCACTTGTTTCACTATAAACACTCGGCCAGAGACATTCATACATCTGTACCCTTTATGATCAAGACTGTACCCTAAGAACACACACTTCTCAGTATGGAAAGATAGCTTATGTTTTTGGTAGGGTCGAAGAAATGGATAACAGGAGCATCCAAACACCTTCAAATCTGTATATTTTGGTGATTGTTTGAATAATGTTTCATAGGGTGACAGNGATGGATATTTTCAGTGCTGACAGAAGGTTGAACAGAGGCTGTAGAGGGTGCTATGGGAAGTACAACTTCAAGGTGAATTCCAGGATTGTGTGTGCCTGTGGCTGGTACTTTAGAGATACCTATGGGAGAGGATAAATGATGAGAATCAGCATCAGGAAAGGCTTCTTTTGGAGAAGAAAAACTGCAGTCCTGAACAGGTGGTGTAATAGAATCTGTGGGTCTGAGAGAGTCATTCTGACATATAACAGAATCTAAAGGTGAGTCCTTAGATAATGAGGATGGTTGTGGAAGAGGCCATGATTGAGAAATGAGATTGAAACCAGAAGATTCAGAAGTGGAAGGGGCAGATTCTGCATAATGAAATCCTGTTCTGAATGGAAAATCTGTCTCCAAAAATTTTACTTGTTTCACTATAAACACTCGGCCAGAAACATTCATACATATGTACCCTTTATGATCAAGACTGTATCCTAAGAACACACACTTCTCAGTGTGGAAAGATGGCTTATGTTTTTGGTAGGGTCGAAGAAATGGATAACAGGAGCATCCAAACACCTTCAAATCTGTATATTTTGGTGATTGTTTGAATAATGTTTCATAGGGTGATAGAAACTCTATAGCAGCTGAAGGAAGCCTATTGAGAAGATAAACTGCTGTGCTAAATGAAGACCACCAAAATTTCAGGGGCATGGCAGCATGAGCAAGTAAAGACAGTCCAAATTCAGTAATAGCCCTATGTTTTCTTTCCACTCTCCCATTTTGTTGATGAAGATATAGACAAGGATGTCTAAACTTAATACCATGTTTTTGTAAATAACTAGAAAAAGATCCGAATTCTCCTCCCCAATCTATTTGCAAACACTTCATTTTTGTGTCCAGTTGTTTCTCAACAAAACAGTGAAACTGAAGAAACACATTAAATGCTTCTGATTTTAGCTTTAAGGGATAAATCCAAGTGTATCTACTAAAATCATCTACAAAAATAATGTAGTATCTATAACCTTCTGTGGATAGAAGAGGAGCAGGCCCCTATAAGTCAAAATAGACTATTTCTAATGGTCTAAGAGCCCTAAAAGTAGAAACTGGAAACTGACACTGCTGTAGCTTTCCATATTGACAGGCTTCACAGAAGAACTTTTTATTTCTAGAACCAAAATGCTTTACATGTAGTATGTCAAGTACATTATGAAGAATGTTCTGACTAGGATGACCTAGTCTTGCATGCCAAAGAGAAACAACATTCAATGACTCATCAAATCCAAAATTTTTAGACTTATTAGTAGTAGAACAATCACTACCAGAACTGTGACTAAATTCTGAAAACTGCTCTTTATTAGACAGAGATGAAGTAACTGCATGTGAGGTAAGTGCTGAGGAACCTGAGTATCCAGGCTGAAAGGTAGAACCAGTAGTGGAGCTGCCAAGTGATGGCAAAGTGAGTTGGTAGAGACCATCCTTCACTACCCCTTGTAAGAGCACAGCCTTGCTGTGTTTATCCTTTATTAAACAACAATCAACATGAAATTCCACAATCACATGATTATCCTTAGTGATTTGAGATATGCTCAACAGATTTTTAGCAATATGAGGCACACACAAAATGTTCTGAAGCTGTAAAATTCTACTAGATTCAGTAGAGGGTAGTAATAGTATACCTGTGTGTGTGATAGGAATAGATTGACCGTTGCCAACCTGGACTTGAGATCCTTCTTGATAAGGTGACTTCAACATCAAATTAGAGACATCTGCAGTCATATGGTTTGATGCCCCAGAATCCATGTACCAGGATTTATCAACAACTGTTTGTGGCATGGCAATAGCTTGTGAAGTTGAATTGGGTAGCACAGGTGCAGCAGACATCTACCCCACTGTTGAGTTGTTGGTAGAATTCACAGACCCAGACTGAGTAAAGGACTGAACTTCATGTACTTGTGAATGATATTTGGGTGTAGTAGGACTTAGTGAAGAACCTCCAGTAGCTGAGAAATCATGAAAACCATCATAGGAGCTGACGACATTTTTTGGTTGTAGGAAATTTGCTACATAAAGAGCTTGAACTTGAGCAGCAGAGTCATGGGCATTTCCAGAGTATTGCTGGGTATTAGTAATAGGAGAAGATATGGGTGAGTTAGCTGGTGGGAGTGGAAAAGAGTTGTGAGATTGAAAACCATGATAGTCATAGTCAAACCGATGGTAACATTGCAGAGCTGAGTGACCAGATTTGCCACACACTTGACAGACTAGTCTAGGCCTAAAATAGCCTCTGCCACGAGCTCTGCCTCTCATTCCACTGTTATTAAACTGAAAACCACCAGTAGGAAGATATTGGGCAGTAGCAAGGTGAGGTGATACAGTAGTGTACATGGCCAGATTAGGAGGCTGTTGAGTATACCCTTCATGGTGTGTGTATGGTATATTAGGTTGAACTAAAGGGCCAGACCCAGGATTCTGAAAAATGCCTCCTCTAGGACCAAGTTTCTGAATCGGTGAATTGCTATTAAAGTTCTGAACTGGTGACACATTATTTGGATCACCTGAGGCTTGCTTAGCAGCTAGTAAAGTAGAGGTCATCTGCTCATGAAAACTATTCATTACACTATTCTGTTTTTCAATGCGCATCTCCTGTTTATGTAACAATAGTTGTGCTTCCTGAATAGTGGTATTACTACTGTCAGCAATAAGGTTTGCTACCATAACATCATATTCTGGACCTAAACCATCCAGGATGTATAACAGCAACTCTTCTTCCCCAATTTGAACTCCACTTACTACCAACTCATCACCTATTTCTTTCATCCTCAAGATGTATTCATTAACACTCATGGACTCCTTTTTGGTACTTTGCAACAAATTTCGTAAGTGTAAAGTCCTAGCCTTAGAGAATGACTGAAAATACAGCTCTAATGTGTTCCAAATCTCATACGCACTTATACACTTGGCTACATGTCTAAACATGGATTCAGAAATAGAGGACACTAACCAGCTTACTAAAAATTGATCAGTTTTCTTCCAATCAAAATATTTTGGATTAGGTTTCTTAACCATTTGCTCAGAATCAACCATTTTCTCAACTATAAACATAGGAGGACATGAATTCACACCTGTTACAAAGCCATCGAGCTCGTAAGCAGCAAGTGCAGGTAGAGTTTGAGATCTCCAGTAACTGTAGTTCTTTTCCCCTAATTTGACTGAAAGAGTTGGAAGTGAAGAGTGGGCTACTGAACTCATTGCCCTCGCACTGTCAATCTGCTCTTTAACAAGTTTCGAACCAGAATCCAAGATCTCAGAAGTCAGATTCGCCATGGACGTATGTCGGTGGCTCTGATACCATGAAGATTCTTGAACTAATTTGAGAAGAAGTGAACGAAAAATCAGAAGAAAATAGAAAAGAGGGCTAAGCATGAGCTGTAGCTAAAGAAAGGAATGAAAAGTGTGACTTAATCTATTTTAACAATCGCGTTTTTGTTACAACTGAAAACTGGAACTGTAACTAACAGTAACAACCTCTTATATAGAGGCTGGAACACTTACAAAAACGCACCCTTTTTTTTACTACTTACAATCTTTACAAAACACACCCCAAGGATACTTACAAACTTTACAGAAAACACCCTTCTTGCTTTTTTATTCCTAATACCGAGCAAGAAAATGTCTGGACAAAGGCAAAGCAAAACTTCATGAAGGCTTAAAATCAATCGATTAAGGTTGACAAATTGTATTACTACTCTTAAGTATCATATTGTTTTGCAAAATAAAGGATTTAGAATTCTTTTTAATTATAGTAAAAGTATAAGAAAAAGAAATCCTAGCCTTAAAATGATATAATCAATAAAAGATAATCTTTTTTTTTAAAAACAATTATTTTCGAAAGGCTTCCTGTTGCTATCATACATACTCTCTTCTCTAGTGTGGTATAATTCAAAGTCGACTGTAAAGGATGGCTACGGAGCGGAGTCAAGCATGCAAAGGACGTTTCAACTAATTATCGATTGTTTGTAGTGGCTATCATAGTCGCTAGTGTGAATAATGAACACTTTAATCTTACTTTGACCATTTAAAATTACCTGGGAGACTTAAGCCAAAGATTCTAGTCAATATAATACAGGTCTATTTAATTATATAAATATTAATTAAGTCTTTCTTTCACAGCTTGTTAGGTTACAGTTGCTATCAGTCTCTAGTAAAAAACCTAAAATTTGAAAAAATTAATGACCTACTATATGTAGCCAAATAATGAATTGACAACCGCGTAAAGCATGCAATGTTTCAACTAATTATCGATTGTTTGGTTATGTTTTTCATAAACAAAAAACAATGTTAACTAATTAAGTAGTAAGTAGAGGAATTAATAATGAAAATTTTAAGCTGACTTTGAGCATTTAAAATTATCTGCGTAGACTTTAGTGTGACTAATATTCTCCAACATTTTGCGTGTAAATACGCTGTGCTTTTTGCTCAATTTGAAACCCATCAAACTCTCCTCTTTAACTGCTCAAGATTGATTGAGCAATTTAAAAGGAGCTATAACTTCTTCATTATTTGCTCAATATGGCTCTGATTGGTAGATTCAGTTCTTTAAAGCCAAGAAATATGCACCTCGCTGTGTCCATTAATTTTGAAGCCCTATTCAACCAAAAAAATATGACGTTGTAAGTTGAATTTTCTAATCTATTTCTTGATATTTAATTTCTTTTAGCATATATATTTTATTAGTACGATAAAAATTAATTTTATTTGCATACGTTTTTCTTTTTCATTCTTCTTGTCATCAGAAAGGGGGACAATGATCCACAAATCAATGGAGACAATCTTGACAGCACACTGGCAGTCAATAGTATCAACGCTAATGTTAACTTGAATGTTGTAGAAGAAGAAGATAATATAAGCAATGGTAACATCTTGAATGTTGCAGAGAAAGATAAAAACACTATAGCATTCTTAGCGACTGTGATCGACGAGGGAAGTCCTCCAGAAACCAATGATTTACTCAATACAAATAACACTACTACACAATCAAATCCACCAACAACCGACACTGGAAAACCTCCAGTAACTAATCCTGCTCCTGATGCTGTTACTTCATCAACAACGAGCCAAAAGAACACCAACTCATCATCCTCTTAACTATTTAGCTTTTATTAATAACTAATGTTGCAGAAGAATAAATTATCTTGTGTGTGTGTGTCCAGTCAGTCATAGTGGTGGGCTAGTTAGCTGGTAGATTTAATATTCCTCATCATGGAATCTGATCGATAAATCTACTTAGTTCATTTTTAATTTCCCATGTTCTTGTTTCTGTTCTTTTATCATTTGTTTTTGTTTGGTGAGAATTTATGTTGATTCTGAATGTCCTCTTTTTATAATTTGGAAATTATGAATTAAGTTGGTGTGAGTGTTAAAAGTTAAAATCTTTTTTCTTATACTGGATCATCTTCTTGCATTGTTATGACTAGCTTTTCATTGAATTAAGCATATCTTTTATGACCATATCTCAAATCCAAAACCAAACCCTTCAACAATCAAAAATTAGAGACATCATGCAAGCACCATCGTTCCATTAATTCTGCAGCTAACGGATCAATCATTTATTAATTAAATCAAATGTAGCCTTATTGGGGTATCGGATGTGTTGAATGTACGGCCCTTGGATTGAGCAAGATCGCATCTACTCAGAGGGATGACAACAAAACCTGTTGGATTTATTTGGGTTGGGTTTAGTCCTCCCATTTAAGATTGGTTAAATTTGGTAAACCGATTGGGTTTATATTGGGTATAGACTATAGAGTTGGTGTGGACAACCCACATACACATTAATTTAATTTTTGAATGGGAAGTGATTTTTCAGCCTCCATCTAATTGATCTTCACTCCCGATGGTCAAGTATACATCTTAAAAAAAAAAAAAAAAAAAGAGGGCTCTTTAAACCCTATTTAGTGCTAAAAATAATCTTCTCAGCTTAAATTATTTATTTTTCCTCAATTTCAAACTTAATTAGGTTTTTGTTTTACATCATTTTCCCCAAATCAAACTTAATTAGTTTTTCTCTTTACACCTTATTTTTTTCCCCCAATTTTCTAATTTCAACTTATTTTCTCTTCTTTAGATTCAGATTCATCCTGTTTTGTAATAACTTTTTCCATAGTTTTAATATTAAATATTCATCGAACAAACAAATATTTAAAATAAGACAATATGTTTCAATGATTATAAAATTTAAGATTATGTTATGAAAATTTAGGGTTAAGGTTTATGTAAGATTAAATGTTAAAAATTAAAACAAAAATATATATCAGAGTATGATCGTATTTTGAAATTATAGTGTTATTTCTAGTAATTTAAAGTAAGATTAAATTTGTGAAAAAAAAAAAATTAAAAGTGGGGAGTGAAGACCAATTAGGTAGGGGCTAAACATCACTTCCCTTTCCAAATAATTCCTAATTATTATAATTATCAGGTACGTGACGGGGATACTAAAAAAATGTTCCTTAGTTTCCGATCTATGCAACAATGTGCCGCTCTTGGCCCAATCAAAGTTTTGCCAGCTTGCTGCGGCCAATATATAGAAGTCATGCACTTTTCAAAGCAGTTGATTAGTTTCATGGTTAGATAGAGAATTAGGTTCTGATCATTTCAATATTTGTGTTGTCGCCAAGCATGCTCGGACAGTGGTGACCAATCAAAACTTTGATCGCCTATGGCCAAAGTATGTATCTTTTTCCGATGATAGTTTATTCGTCGAATAAATCTTTTCTTGTTTTCTGATAAATCTACCAAGCTGGTGGTTTTGATCATAATCATGGATCTGATAAGTCCAGTTAGTTCATTTTAAAATTTCCCATTTCTTGTTTTCTTCTTTTTACTGTTAGAAAGTTGATTCTTGTACTCCTTTATATGTTGGAAATCATGAATTAAGCTGGTTCGAGTGTCAATGTTAAAATCTTTTTCTTATACTGCATCATCTTCTTCTTGCTCGCATGACTATCTTTCCATTGAATTATGCATATTTTATATGCCTGAAGATTTTTTTACGACTATAACGAATAATGATGAGTGAAATGGGAGTGTTTGGCTTGACAGAAAATGAAGAAAAAGTGAGAGAATTATATAAAAATAGAGAATTATTTTGAACCCACAACAACCTAGTTGACATACACAGGTCTTCTCTTTGTTTGCTGTTATCAATTATCATGGCTCTTTTGGGTAAACTTCCTCATGCTTAACGCACCAATATTTGCAGTCTGATAATGTTTTAGATTTATTTTTTGTCCTCTGAGCAAGAAAATGTAGTACAAACTCAAGACAAAGGCAAAATTAATCGATCAAGGTTAACAATTTGCATTACTACTCTTTAAGTATCTTATGTTTTGCAAAATAAACGACAAAAAATACTCTATTACAAAATTTAATTGCTGGTTACAATTTGTTAGTTTCTGAAAATTTTGATTGTTAGCTCTTGTCAAGTAAAGAAGAAGGCAAGAGAGAATCGAGAACTTTCTTGAGTTTAGAACTAATACATTAATTCACTCAACTCAATGTTGTTTTACAAATTGTTCTTATATAATGAACAGGATGTTAACCAAAAATGTGAAAAGGACAAAATATGAAGGTCCTTATTGTAATTTCTAATACTGTAACAGCAACTCCAAAACTGTGTCGCTTTGGTCTGTTACAGTTTCTTCTTTGTATAAAACACTCACTGAATGTTTTACAGTTCAGTTAAGAAATCAAAATCAAAGAGTTCACGATTTTTAGAACTCTGTTCAGTTTACTCTCTCATTCTTCACTTGGTATCAGAGCCGACGACAAGCGTCAAATGGCTACGATTCCTCCGGATAATCAAACTAAAAACATGGAGAAGAGTCTTCATTGCTCATCTCATCCTCAGTTCTCAGTGTTTCCATCAAATCTGCAAGTCGTTAGCCCAAAATTGACAAGAGATAGCTATACAGACAATTATAGGTTCTGGCGTTCTCAAGTTTTGTTCGCGGCAAGAGCACATGAGCTTGAAGAACATTTGACAGGTTCAATTCCATGTCCTCCACCTTTTATTCTTACTGATCCTAAATGTTCAATTGAGCTAAGTGATAGAACATCAGCTGAAACCCTAGCTAAAGAAACAATAAATCCAGCTTATGTAGCTTGGAAAAGAACTGATAAACTACTTTTCACTTGGCTTTTGGCTTCAATTTTTGAAAATATGTTTTCCACTGTGTCTAAGTGTCAATTCGCTACTAAAGTTTGGTTTACACTTGAGAATGAGTTTTTAATTGACTCCAAAGCCAGAGCCTTACATTTAAAGAGTCTACTTCAATCAACTCAAAAAGAAAACCTCAGTGTCAGTGAGTTTGTTAAAAAGATGAAAGGTATTGCTGAAAATTTGTCTACAAGTGGTCAAGTGATTACCGATGAAGAGCTCCTTCAGTATGTGTTGGATGGGTTAGGTCCAGAATTTGATGTTGTGGTTGTCAACCTAACTTCCATAATCGAATCCAAATTTGATTCTATCACATTACAGGAAGCTCAGTTTCTACTTTAGAAATATGAAATGAGGCTTGAAAAGTTTAACTCTGTAGATTTTCATGGAGGCTCGGTCAACATAGCTTCTCTCAACAATGCACAAAGTCAGTCTTCTCTGACCACCACAAACAAGATGCCTACAACACCTGCTGGTTTGTCTAATATGTCTACAACATCTGATGGATTGACTAATGTGTCACTTTCTTTGCCTACATCATTGCCGAGAACTTAGTTTTATCCTACGCATGCTGGTTCAATTTATCAAGGCGGTCAGATCTATTCATTAGATACTGGTTCTATATATAGACAACTTATTCCCTATCCTTTCAGACCTTCAGGTTATAACTCTGGTGGTGGAGGCAGAGGAAGATCTAATGGTCGAGGGAGGCCAATCTATCAAGTTTGTAATAAGGTTGGTCATACGGCTATACAATGCTACCATCGCTACAACTCTTCTTACTATGGGACTCCACCACAATTTGGAATTTCCCCTCAGTTTGGCATGTCTAACCCTGTTAATTCTGGATACAACAGTCGTCCAACTTCACAGCAGTCCCATTTTATTCAATAGCAGTAGCCTCTTATTCCCACTAACAATTCCTATGGTATGCAGTTACAGCCTGGATATATCTCTTATGGATCACAAACTCAACCAACGAACACTACTGATTTTTAGGTTCCACGGTATTATAATGACTCACAAAAAAGGCCTCTTTTCACTCATTCTCAGCAAGGGTTTCATGTTCCCAACCAACAGCCACAAAATCTACCTTATACACCAAACCAAGCTTACTTTGTGTCTAATCATGTTCCATCTCCTAGTCAATCCTGTAGTGCACAAGTCACACCCAATTCCAATGCTCCTATTGACCCAGCTTGGTACATAGATTCTGGAGCAACTGACCATGTAACCTCTGATCCCAATCAGTTAACTGTCAGCAGAAATTATGATGGAGTTGAGCAACTACAAGTTGGCAACGGTGAGTCCTTACACATTACCCATATTAGTTCTACTTTCCTGCCAAATACCTTACATTCTAAATGTTTACATCTAAAAAATGTGTTGTGTGTTCCTAGGATCACTAAAAATCTTCTTAGCATATCTAAGTTCACTAAAGATAACCGTGTTGTTGTTGAATTTGACTCTGATTGTTGTGTTGTTAAGGACAAGGCTACCAAGGCAACATTACTGCAGGGAGGACTTAAGGCTGGCTTATATCAGTTGCATATTCCATCTAGATTTCTTTCCTCTCATTCACCTGCTATGTTTGACAATTCTAGTCCTTGTTTTCCTTAGTCGTTTGTTACGTCAGTTAGTCAGTCCAGTGATAATAAATGTACTGAAAAAGATATGAGTTACTCTTGTTATACTAGAAATAAGATGGTAGGTTCTGAAATCCATTCTGATGATTGTAATATTGTCCTACATACTTGTAATTCTTTTCCTATTAATAAAACACAAAACTTGAATGATTCTACTTCCTTAACTGCTCCCACTGTTTTGCATAATCCTGGTGATGACTTCTCTGCTACTGCATTGCATAATTATAACACTGATATTTCTTCTATCTCATCACATTTAAGCACCAAAGCACTCTCTAAAGACAACACCAACCTATCACATAGTTCACCTACTGTTTTTCATGTTAATAATACCAAAACACACATGCCATCTCTTTGGCATAATAGGTTAGGACATCCTCACTCAGATGTGTTACACAATATTCTGTCATCTATGGATAAACAACCTTTAGGATCAGTTTTTGCCTTAGGATTAGTTTTTGCCTTGCCTTTTTGTGATGCCTGTAGATTAGGTAAGTTGCATAGAAATCACTTTCCCTTGTCTCAATCTAGAGCCACACACCCACTGGAGTTAGTGCATAGTGATGTGTGGGGACCAGCCCTACTAACCTCACTAGAAGGGTTCAAATACTATGTCCATTTTATTGATGATTATAGCCAGTTTACTTGGCTGTTTCCCTTAAGGACAAAAGCTGAAGTCAATTCTGTTTTCATTAAGTTTCACCACCTAGTTGAGAGACAATTTAATTGTAACCTTAAATGTCTCCAATCCGACCAAGGTGGCGAATATAAGGGTCTACTGTCATATCTTACTACTGCTGGTATTCAGTTTAGGCACTCTTGTGTTCATGTTCACTAGCAAAATGAAAGAAGTGAATGCAAACATAGACATATAGTAGAAACTGGCCTCACTTTACTTGCTCATGCCTCTATGCCACTGCATTTATTGTGATTTGCATTTGATACTGCAATTTTCTTGATTAATAGAATGCCTACTTCTGTTTTAAACTACATTTCACCTTATCAAGTGCTTTTTAACAGACCACCAGTGTATTCTAAACTTAAAACTTTTGGCTGCACTTGTTTTCCTTTCCTAAGAGATTTCAACAAACATAAACTTAGTTTCCATTCATCCAAATGCACTTTTGTTAGATATAGTTTAGTGCATAAAGGCTATAAATGTTTGACTTCTGAAGGTAAAATTTATATCACTCCTAATGTCCAATTTAATGAACAAGAGTTCCCTTTTGCCACTAAATGTGATCAGTCTCACTCTCATTTTGTTGTTACGCCACTTGATTTACCAGAAACCACCTCTTCTATTCCTAGTTTTTCTTATGTTTCTGTTCAACTCCCACATGATATAAGTGACAAAGTCTCTCCTATAGTGGCTAGTCCTGATCCATGTCCGAATCCAACAGTTGGTAAGTCAGTTCCCACTTCAATCTTAGCACTTTAATTTCTTTCTAATATTCCTTGCAGCTCTAACTTTAATTCTATCGTCTCTTTGGCTTCATCACATCATACTGCTGTTCCTATAGATGTCACCACTACTTTAGGTCCAACTTCTTCTAATACACCTGTTACAAAATCAGCTTCCACTACAATTCACACAACTTCATCCACCTACCCTCTTGAGATTGATTTTACCTGTTTTAAGAACAATTGTACAACCAGTGAGTCATTATCCTTGCCTACTAATTAGCCCAATTTACATCACTCCTCTCAACCTTCTGGTTGCTCTCTTGTAGTAGATTTAACTCCATCACAATTTTCTGCTCCTAGTTCATCTTCTTTACCCATGACCATCAATACACACTCAATGATCACCAGGTCTAAAGCTTCTTTACAACCCTCGACTGCCCACACTTGGTCTACCATCACCACTGCACAACCTGAATCTTTAACAACAAAAATAGTTCCTACACAACCTTCCACTGTCATCACCACTGCACAACCTGAACTCTCAATAACAAAAATAGTCCCTACACAACCTTGCACTGCCCTTACATTATCTAAAACTACTGTCCAACCTGAACCCTTGATAGTAAATGAAGCTCTTGCTAGTAATGAGTGGAAAGAGGCTATGCAAGTAGAGTTTAATGCTTTAATGAAAAATGAAACCTGGAGTCTTGTTCCTAAGACTGTCAATATGAATGTAGTTAGTAACAAATGGGTTTTCAAGACAAAATTTAATGTTGATGGGTCACTCTCCAAAAATAAAGCCAGGCTAGTTGCTAAAAGTTTCCAACATTTAGCCTGGTTTTCAGGACAAAATTTAATGTTGATGGGCCACTCTCCAAAAATAAAGCTAGGCTAGTTGCTAAAGGTATCCAACAAACACCTGGGTTGGATTACTTTGAAACATTTAGCTCAGTTATTAAGCTGTAACGCCCCACTTGAGGTACGTAGTTATTGTTCCTTCTTTTGCTCTTTTTTTGAGTTGGTCTCTTGGTAATATCGTTTGGTTGACCTTTGTTTGAGTGTTGTGTTGAATACTTGCCCTGAAATTGGTTGAAAATAGAGGAAGTTTAGTGTGCCAAGCTTCGCCGGGGCGAAGAATAATCTTCGTCGCGGCGAAGGGGTGTTGAATCCACGGGGAAATGTTCTGGACATTTTCGCCACGGCGACAGAAGCTTCCTCGCTGTGGCGACAGTCCAACCAAAATGTTTGTTAAGTTTTAGATATTCTCTTCCCTAAGGGCAATTTGACCATTCTACCCCTAATTAGCAGGAAAAGTGGGGAGTTAATTGTAAGGAAATTTCAAGGAGAACATGTTAGTATGGGGGTGTGTTAGTAATGAATCAAAGGATATGGATGGAATTTTCATGAAAGAGCAAGGGCAAAATGGGAAGAATGAGTTATTAAGAGATATTTAAAAGGGTTTAGTCTTTGAAAACTCTTCATTTTCCCATTCCACTGCCTCCTTCACTCTTCCAAACTCTCTCAAATTTCCTTCAATCTTCCAAGGATTTCCAAGAGCCTTTTTGAGTAACTTTTAGTAGGGTTTTCATCTAAAGCTCCCTAAGGTAAGGATTTTTGCTTAAGTTAAGAGTTTTATTATGTTTTGATTAGAGTCTCATGTTGTGATTGTTGGGTAAGTTGTAGAGGAAAAGCAAGCTCCCAAAGGAAAGGAGAAGTGTTAAAGAAGCTAATTTCTCATAAGGTAAGTAAACTCAACCTAAGTTAAGATTTAAGAACTCTTTTGAGTAGAGTTATATACATATATGTGTATTCACTTAATTGTTGAATGAGATTATTAGTTATGATTGAGTTATGAGAAGTGTTTTACTTGCTTGATGTTGGGTTGAATTTGATAGAAGTTGGAGGAAGTTTTGAGCAAGCTTATGGAAGTGTTTTTCTTTTGACAGGAAATTTAGAGCTTATGAGGGAGTTTTCTCCCATTTGGTTAATTAAAGAAAAGAGAAAAGCTAGAGTTAGAGTAGAGTTGTTTATGCACATGAGTTGTATGATGAAATGCTCAAGAGAATCATAAGTAAGGGTAGAAAGCCTTAATTGTTGCTACATGTCATAGTTACTTTTCATAAATGCATTAATGAGTATGAGTCATTGATGTGCATTAACTATGCTTTACTTATGCATTAGAAAAGAGAGTAGAGAAAGAGTAGAGACTTTTGAGTTTAGACTACTCTAAGAGTAGAGAGAAAGAGAGAATGAGCACTATAGAGTAAAAGCTAGAGTAGTGCTTAATAAGAGAATAGAGTAGGTTGTGCGATGGGGAACCTGTGAGTACGGGTAGAGTATTCCCGCATGTACGCCGCATCAAGAAAGCGGCCAGAGTATCAGAAAGAGAAGTGGTGTAGCCCGTAGTGTACATGCGGATGAGGGCTATACCCGAGTTTACCCGAGAGATTCTATGCACTCACATGGCCAAAGGTTCCGAATCCATGCATAACCAAGTCCGATCGGCTAGAATGAGTAGAAGTCACAGGGAGTGGGAGCGAGTCCCAGCCGTGCCTCCGGTCAGATGGGGCCGTGACTTACTAGAAAGAAAGTTAGCATAGAGGAGTTATGAGAAAGAGAAATTAGATAGTTATATTAAAGAAAGAGTTACGGAGATATTTGAGTTCAGGGGTTTACTTACTGAGCATTGTTTGTGCTCATCCAATTGTTCCCTATGTTTTGCAGGTTCTAGATGAGGACACAGTCGGATGGATATCGGCACACGAAGAGAAATGGCTACACTGTCCACCCTATTTTGATAGTTTTGCATATGTTATAAATCTTGTATATATTAGTATAAAGAGTACATATGTTTAATAAAAGAAAATTTTTGGGCCCAACTTTTTATGTTATTGTTACATGTACTTTTACTATGCATGTTTTTATAAGAATTGAGTCATTACATAAGCCTAGCACCATTAGAATCATTCTTACAGTTGCTATTTCTTCTGGATGGGACATTCAATAAATTGACATAAATAATGATTTTCTTAATGGCCAATTGACTAAAACTGTTTATATGAGGCAACTTGAAGGGTTTGAAGTTCCTCATCTTTCTTCATATGTGTGCAAACTAAACAAGGCTCTTTATGGCCTCAAACAAGCTCCAAGGGCATGGTTTGATAAACTCAAACAAGCATTATTGGACAAAGTTTTAAGAATTCAGTTTCATATTCCAGTTTATTCATCCTTAAGGATAATGCTCAAGTTCTCTATGTCCTCATTTATGTGGACGACATCTAATTGCTGACTCCAGCAGTTCTTGCATTTTATAACTGATTGAAACCTTAAATAATCAGTTTGCCTTGAAGACACTTGGTTCAGTGACCTAGTTTATTGGTTTAGAGGCAACTAGAACACATGAGGCAATTCACTTGAAGCAGACCAAATATGTTACTGATTTGCTTGTAAAAACTAAGATGCAAGATGCATAGTCTTGCCTCACTCCCATGGCTGCTGGTACAAAGCTTTCAGCCATAGATAGTGAGTTGTTTAAAGACCCTAGTTTGTATAGAAGTACTATTGGAGCTCTTCAGTACCTAATCTTAACAAGCCCTGCCATTAGCTTTACAGTTAATAAGCTAAGTCAGTACCTTCAAGCCCCTACTGAGCTACAATGGCAAGCTTGCAAGAATGTTTTGAGATATCTTAAAGGAACCCAGTCTCATGGCCTTCAGTTCAGACCAACAGTTTCCCTTCACCTTGAATGCTATGCAGATGTTGACTGGGGTAGTAATTTGGATGACATGAGGTCCACCAGTGGCTACTGTGTGTATCTCGGGCCTAATTTGATTCAGTGGAGCTCCCGAAAGCGAAGAGTGGGTGCCTTATCATCTACTGAAGCTGAATATAGAGCATTGGCACATACAACAACTAAATAGGTATGGCTGGAAAGTCTGTTTTCTGAATTGGGAATATCTCTTAATTCTTGTCCAGTAATTTGGTGTGATAATGTCAGCGCTTGTGCCTTAGCTTCTAATCCCGTTTTTCATGCTCGGACAAAACATATAGAGATTAACACTCACTATATCTGGATCAAGTTTTAGCAAAGAAAGCTGTTGTGTAGTATGTGCCTTCAAAACTGCAAATTGCTGATGTGTTAACCAAACCCCTCTCCATTACTCAATTTCAAGAGTTGAAACAGAAACTTTGTGTTGTTGACACTCCACGGCCTGTGAGTATAAACTGAAAAATAATGAGTATTGAAATATGGTGATTTGTTGTGATAAAGTAGTGATTAATGTTGTTCTATAATTGAAGTGATTGTTGCAAATTTATGTTGAAATGTGGTGATCTGTAGTAGCAAAATTATGTTAATGGTTTTCTGTGCTTAAAGCAGCTATTCTGTTTAAGTTGTTGTTTTACTGAATCACTACAGCTGATTCTAATTGGAAGTGAAAAATTTTGTGTATTGAAATATGGTGATCTGTAGTGAAATATGGTGAAATGGCTGTTGAAGTGTATGGTGGTTGAAATATGGTGGTTTGCATTTGTAATAGAAGTGGCAGTTTTGAAATTGAAATAGCCGTTGAAGTGTATGGTGGTTTGCATTTGTAATGGAAGTGGCTGTCTGAAATTTGAAATGGTTGTTGAAGTGTATGGTGGTTGAAATATGGTGGTCTGCATTTGTAATGGAAGTGGTTGTTATGAAATTTGATGGAATATGCACTGAATTATGGTGCTCTATAATTGAACTGGCTGCTCTGTAATTGAAGTGGTTGTTGCTATGTGACTGTTGAAATAGGTTGCTATTTTACTGGCTATTTTACTGTAGACTAAGTACCGTGCATTGAAACTTACTGCAGCTAAGTACTCTGCTGCTGAAATTTACTCTACTGCTAAAGTTTGGAGAAAACTTTTTCAGCTAAGCTTTGTGTTCCTACGTTGCTGATTTTTTTTTTTTTTTTTTTTTTTTTTTTTTTTTTTTTTTTTTTTTTTTTTTTTTTTTTTTTTTTTTTTGATTGGAAGTCAACCCTCTTGGGTTGTGTGTTGGGCAGCTCTTGTTTTTTTTTTTTTTTTTGCATGGAGTTGAAGCTCATCCTTTGCAGGACAGCAGGAGAAAAGGATAGTTTAGTTTAAGGGGGAATGTTAACCAAAATGTGAAAAGGACAAAATATGAAGGTCCTTATTGTAATTTCTAATACTATAACAGCAACTCCAAAACTATGTCATTTTGGTCTGTTACAGTTTCTTCTTTGTATAAAACACTCACTGAATGTTTTACTGTTCAGTTAAGAAATCAAAATCAAAGAGCTCACGATTTTTAGAACTCTGTTCAGTTTACTCTCTCATTCTTCACTCAAGAATGTTAAGATGGCAATTCATGTGAAAACCTAATCTCATCCGTTCAATAAAGGAAACAACAAACACAAATCTAATTATTTTTTATCATTGGATTGATTGAAATACTTTGAGCTGCTTTGTTGAAGAAAAGCTGCTTCTACGGACTTTCATTCTTAATCTCTTCGGCTTGCATTTGTCTTCGCATTGTGTTATCAAAACTATGTCGTTTCTAACTTCTTAAACTAACAACACTTAACAGTTCTTAAACTCCTCTAGCTGATGTCGTTAACTTCTTATATACTTCAACACAATTATTCAATTATTTTCGAAAGGCTTGCAGTTGCTATCATACTCTCTTGTATGGTATAATTCAAAGTCAACTGTAAAAGATGGCTACCGAGTCAAGCATGCAAAAGACGTTTCAACTAATTGTCGATTGTTTGTCAGTGTTTTATAAATAATAAATTAAGTACAGTGAAATTTTTAATAAGAACAAAATATTGGTTACATGAATAATGAACAATCTAAGTTGACTTTGACCATTTACAATTACTCGGGAAGATTTATGTACGTTTTACTTGGGTTTCATTTTTTTTAATATAATTAATGAAGAATTCTAGTTAATTATTGTTGATGCTTGATTTGACACAAACGACTCACAAGTACAAAGTGTTAAGTTGTTCTTAGAAATTATACGTGATATGATTGATTCAAGAGTCAGGACAAAGTTAAACAATATTATCAAATGCAAAGACACAATAATAAATGAGAAAGATGATTTTTATGGTGGTTCGGATGCTTAAAGCAAATCCTACATCTATTGTTTATTTTATATATGAGAGTTTTACAAGAGGTTGCGCATAACGAAATAACAAACAGAGGTACAATAACTGAGTATTCAGAGATAATATCCAGTCAGTCTATTTCTCGTAGGTTGTCTTTACTATTGATTGTTATGAAAGTAAAGATCCCGAAAATGAGAGAGGGAGTCCTCTATTTATAATAGCTGAATTCAAGGTAATGACTACAAATCTGCAAGTGGGTAGGTGTCGTTCAAGTCCTTCCTTGCCTCCCATGGGTTGATAACTTAGGAAATATCCTCAAATTATCTGGGGCTTAGACAAATGTGCAGCCCTCATTCACTCATAGAAAAAACCTGAATCTGCTGGGTTGGTGACAGCTGTATTCTCTCTATCTTGGGGCAACGTGACAGATTCTAGACTGCGCAAAGCCTTCCTAAATATGATTGGTGCTTGTTGATGTAAGCTTACGTTAGCCCTAATTTTTTAGGTATAACAGAAGCTCCCAATTCTTAAGGTTCAAGAATTAGATCTTAAGAACTTCATGATTATGCCATGACCTAACTTGTCTCTAGAAATGCCCGCTCGAGCTAACAGTTGAGAATAGTCACATCATTGTAGACGACATGAGGTTGACTGCTTGATCTGACCAATGAACTGAGTGTAGGTCGTGACATGGATTTTGAGAGTTACACAAGTGACCTGTCATAATCGTTCTCAAAGGCCCAACGACATGAGTTTGATCTTGTCCAGTGCTATTAAAATGTGTTTTGGACTCTAGTTGTCATTCACGGCCTGAAAACACTTAGAACAATTTACTGTCGAAAACAAAAAACCATCTCGTTCGGTGCTCAGGTTTGACATGTTGAACAAATGCCTTATTTGAACGACTTGTTCAGATGTTATTCGTTGCACTTGACAGCTGGCTTGGTCAATAAAATAAGCCTTATCTGACAGATGTGTCTCTGCGCAATAAGTGTCAGCCATGAGCATTAAATGCAAGCCATACTGAAACGACATTCTTTTTTGAAGCATTGAATGCAGATGAAGGCACATTTAATGTTGAGGAGATAATCACGTTCGTGCTTGGCAATTTCGATAAAGAAATGTGCCGGTTGATTTTCACGAAACGTAAGGGTTACTCCTCGCATGGATTGGTGACACATGGTCGCAATCAATAGTTAGAAGCGTGTTCCCGCCCAAACGTTGTTTATAAAAGAAACCAAACGTCACCTTCAACCCTATAAACCCTACGTTCACCTGAAGTTTTTCAGAGAACTCAAATTTTTTAGAGAGAAAACATCATTTTCAAGCTCAACAAATCAATTCATCCTCTTTCTAGTTAATACGCACTCAACGCTATGACAGAACATCCATTCCTAGCAACCAAGAGGTAAAGAATTTCTTCCTTTTTCTCTTTTTTCCATTCCTATCAAAAGCTTAATTTTTACAGTAATGGTGGTCATGGGCGTCTGGTAGGCTTAGATGATGAACACTCTAGGGTAATGTTTAAAAGAAACACTTTTAAGAGTTAAAACTTAGGGCATAGATCTTTAGAAAATTATTCTTAAGAGTTTTTAGGGTTTTGACAGCCATAGAGGCGAAACCAAGATTCTTTCTCTTCGGAGTCATCGTAAGAGGTACATTTTTTTTAGGGTTTAAGTCACCCCTATGTGTCATGCCTTTACAAACTCAAAAGGCAATGGACATCCTTGAGACAAGAACAACTAGAGAAGGAAGCTTGCAACCACCGGGCACCTCAACAGGTCTTGGAAAGGTGATACTATCTACCGTCACAAAGGAAGAGATTCAGAGAGTGATAGACCAGTACGCAATCAACGTGGACGTGTATCGGTATAGGTTGCACACTGCTCAGGATCCTTACGAGGGGATCGTCGTGATCTCAGAAGTGATCTTCACATACGGAGTGACGATAGCCCTCCACCCTTACATCAGGTCGATCCTTGACCACTTCTAGGTCATGCCATTGTAGCTGATGCCAAATGTGCATATGATAGAAGTCGCTATATATATTGCATTTGGCGAGCACAACCTCGATGAGCCAACGGCGCAAGAGCTCACTTACGCCTATTATTTAAAGAAGAGCAAAAACAAAGATTTGTACTACCTTTCCAAGTGATCAATGATTGAAAGAGGGATATTTGGTTACCCTAGCAATATAGGGGCTTATGAAACCAAATATTTTTTCTTCTAGTACGATGGAGTCTGTAAATCTAAGGAACCAAGTAGGTTTTCCTTTTAATTTCTAGATCGATCATCTTTTAAGTTTAACTTCTCCTTAAATATATTAAGCTAACAAACTCTTTGCTTCATTGCAGGAAACAAAACGACCAGGTTATCAATGCTAATTGATAGAAGCCACATCGAAGCATTTGGTCGACTGTTTGACCTAAGTCGCAACGCGAAGAGGCTCGTGACCATTGTAAGTTTTCAAAAGTATGATTTTCACCCCCGATACATACTTAGACGGTTCAGCTCGTAAGTATTTTTGATATAGAAAAATCTTAGTCTTTTTAACAAAAGTAGATTCTTTTTGTTGATGCGTTCGTATGCCATGTAGCAGCCATGCCACCAAAGATTACAAAGACGTATAAGAAGTCTACGAGGTTCACATTCCCCAGACTGAATCCAATCGGAATAGCTGGAGCAACCTCCAGCGATGTCCCTATTACGAGGACACAAACTGGTGTAGAAAGGAAACCACTTGCAAAGTGACATGAAGAAGCTGCCCAGCCTACTACTGCTTGCTTGTTAAAGAAGAAATCTACAGCCTCAAA